TAAAATGGGGGGGGGGGGGGAAGAATACGGACGATATGAATTTAGTTACCTACTAGGGAATTCTAAAAAATTTTTTTGAGCACTTTGAGCATTAAAACATTTCGGGGCTGAGATTTGCCTGCACTCTTTGGAGAGAAAGCTGGAAGCATGTCTTTACTGCCTACGTGCAGCAGTTGAGTTGCAACTCGCAAATAAGCTGCGCTTCTTGGCATGTAACACACAAGGGCTCCTGGTTCGCTAATCTAGAGAAATTCTTTTCAGCAAAATCAAAGCTTTTACTTTTTGATTTGAGCAGGAATCTACAACGACGAATTTTCATTTTTCTGCACATTTATCCTTTTCCCTGCATCAAAAAAGTTAAACATTATGTCAGGCTGTTCCAGAAGTTCTGTCGCTTTGCCTTTGAAAAATGCGTAACTGCTCCCCATGTGAAGTGCTGACTTACAAAAAATATCTTCAGGTAGAAAAACTCATCTACTTCGCAAGTTCACCTTTGCGACTTTTTGACGTCAACGAAGTGCAGAGACAAAAATTCAAATAAGAGAACCACTCAGCTCGTGATTTTCAGAAATAAATCGCCAAAAATGTGAAACGCTGCGGAAAATGTGAGAGCATGTTTGTTCCTTAGAGATTTTGCGAGATGCCCTTTTCTAATGATGCCAAGTTTGTGCTGATCAAGCTTCTCTACGAAATATTATGACTTTTGTGAAAAATGCAGAAAAATACAAAAAACGTCAATTTTGGTTTTTTTTTGGATTTTTCACGAAAATCATAGCTTTTCGTGGAAAACCTCGATTGGCACAAACTTGGCAACATCAGAAGGAGTAGCTTACAAAACCTTCAAGAAACATGCTTTTAGACTTTTCTGCAGCGCTTCAAATTTTTGACAATTTATTCTCCAAAATCCAAAATTAAAGTGGGTCTCCTATTTAAATTTTTTTAGTAAACACGTTCACCTAGGGAGTCACGAATTTTTCAAAATCAAAGCGACAGAAGTTTCAGGCGACAGACGCCACCTAATAGTCGACTGTGTAGCAATTATTATAAGAGCTGCGAAATACAAATGTGAGTCCTTATCGATGCATATAAGAATACAGTGGCTAGATCACTCTAGATTATTTTCTTCTTCTGAACCTCTTTTATTATTTTCTCCTTCTGAACCTCTTTTTTGAACAGTTGCTTCTTCCTCTCCTTGTTCTTCTTCAACTTTCGACGTTCGGTCCTGAATTATGAGTGTAATGTGCTGCTCAATCGATGCTTGAGTAAGTTTTGTTCATACGTTCATACAACAGAGTTTCAGCTTCATCAAGAGACTCTAATAAGCAATTTGTATTACGTTAGCTGCCGAACAAAGCTCCTATTTTAAGAATCTATTTGTTTGTAAGACATGAATGGTAGCAAAATACTGTCCAAGCCTACAAAAAAACACTACATTCAAAGTTTTCATATTTAGTTACAAAATCTTGGCTGAGCTGTTGTGAGCATCCACTGATAAGCGAAATTTTCTAATTAGTGATTTCATCTTTGTGAATACTTTAATAATTTGATGACAACAAAAACTACTCCAAACAAATGAAATTTATCTAACTGTTTAGTAGTGCTAGTAATGTGTTTCATTGTGAACAACATAATGATGCAACACTAATTTGAAAGACCCACTGAGGTGGAAAGCACAGTGAAGGGTTTTGCTCATACCTTCGATAGTCTAGAGACAGGGCGTCAAAAGTGAAAGTTGTTTGAACATATGACGTCATAAATAGTGAAGGTTGTTTGAAGAAATTCAGAGAAGAGAATATGACGTAAAACAGATATAAAAAGCAAAAGAAACTGCTAAAAACCGGATAAAAACGCTGCAAAGAAGTCTGAAATCTTTCATTTGGCGGCTTTTCAAAAAGCAAGCTTTCGCTCTAGGACCAGCAATTCGCAACACGGGGTTTTGATTTTTGATGCGTCCTTTAAATTTTTACCCCCGCACTTACGTTCCTGTTTACTGGGACGTTGTCTGGATTGTTGCGCTTATTGTTCTGAGCAATAATCGCCCAAGCTGGAAAAAAATCGATGCGAAAGCACTGAAACAGAACAAGGTAAAGAAAAACGCACTTTTTACGATTTTTTGCAAAAAATTCCACCATAATCAAAGAGGTGAGGGCTGGGTGGTTGTCTGCATTATGAGCAGAAGCAAGATCTATAGAATGCACGAAAAAACCGCGTGAAAATAGTTAACCTAGGAGAAAAACAAGACATTTTCGAAAACAAGGTTTTTGCCAGATTTCTCGATCAAATCAAAAAATGTAGTTCCGGGACGTTGTCAGCGTGAAAATAGAGATCAAGAGCTTTAAAATGATATATAGCTTGCTAAAATTGGGTTCGAAACAGCGAAGAAAAGGGTACCAGAGCCAAATGCCCCGCGCCCCGCGTTTGGGGTAGCGAGGTAGCGCGCAACGCGCGGAGACGCAGACGAGCAGCGGAGACAGACCAGAGCCGACGGGGCATTTGGCTCTGGTAGTAGATCTCCGCGGGGTCTCAACGAAACCCTGCAACATTATATATCATTCCGATCGTCATGACACGACGAGGAGAACTGACAACGTCCCAAGCTTTGAAAGTCACTCCTTAACGAGATAGACCAGCGTTTTCGTGCGCGACTCTCTGCGCAAGATTTAAGGGCAGTTTCTCGTTTTTATTTAACTCCAATAGGTTTCCTAAACTTCTGAAACTCGATTTTATTCAAATGAGAGGATAACTGAGAGATTTTGTCTTGAATTCTGGCGAAGATTCCACGGAAACCTTCTTTTTAAGGTAAAAAAAGGCTATGAAAACGCAAATTCTCGGTTTCGCTGAGATAACTAAAGATATTATTCCCTATATTTGCTTCATCAACATTCGTTCCGATATAGTTAGGATAATAACGTCCGGGGCGAAGCCCCGGATGACTTCTTTTCTTTCCAGGTGAAGGTTGTGTCTCCCCATAGCCCTCAAAGTGAAAGTTACCAGAATACGTGGCTCTATGTATCGAGGGTATGGTTTTGCTCCTTATCTACGAAACTGGTCTTATATTAACAGCAACACATTAATACATCTGAAACCATATGGCAAACTCACTCTGTGAGATTGAGCTGACAACCCTTGATTCCGTATCGGCGAAGCGCGAAGAGACACACCGTATGATTACCTCCATCTCCTATTCCAGCACACCCAAACGCAGGCATTACTGGCTTACTTTTGCCTTTTCGAAATTTTCCATCTGTTTTATTTTCCAATTTTATCAGTCTCTGAAAGCAGCAAACATTATTAAGCATTATTAGCAAACATTGCTTTGATTATAGTCATTGTGACTGTAAACATTGAAACGAGAAATAGGTTTCAAGCATGTCCAAGATATTGTTAGACCACACCCGTCCGTCTTTAAAGTCTGCAGTGTTCTCTCTACGATCTCAGCTCTATGTTTTGGATGTTTGTTTTTTGTATTCAAATATTAGGTTGCTGCAGATATTCTGTCGCATCATTAGAAATCATAACTTCTTGCTCTCTCAACGGATTTGCCCAAACTTAATTTTGCTAGATAGAGGAAACTCTTTTCTTTGCGAAAATGCCCTTCTGCTGTCTAATAATGGGAAGTGTTTGAGATGGAAGCAGGAGAATAAAATTACTGCATCTTCGATCATATTGAGTTAGGCTGCTAAAAATCTGAAACTTGCGAAGAAATTTGCAGTATAGTAAGTCTTTTGATCCACAGTATCCAACAGTGCAGAGTTTTTGTAGAATGAGCATTTGTGTAAAGAGTTATGGTTTTCGAAAAAACGCAAAAAAATCAAACTTGCTGTTTTGTATTGCTTACCCAAAAATCATAACTCTTCACAGCAATGCTCTTTAATGCAAGCTTGGCACCATTGGAAACTGTGGATCAAAAGACTTACCATACTGCCTGCTCAGAATTTTGGCTCAAGTTTGAGATTTTTAGCAGCCCAACTCAAAATGAGCGAAGGTGGAGTAAATTTATCCTCTTTCTTCCATCTCAAACGCTAGCCTTACCAAAGCACCAAAAGTAATATCATAAAAAGAAGCTTCCATATTTAGCAGAATTAAGCTGTGCATATTCGTTGGGAGACCAATTTTTCAAAATGATGCGGCATAACTTTAGCATCAACATTAGGTTGATTCATGATTGATGCACATTTTCTATACTTCAACTTTGAACCAAGAATCACAATCATCTCTGAAAAGAATTTCTAAGCGCAATAAAACTATTGTAGCCAATCTTTGGCTACACAATAGATACTTTTGCGTCACTGTAGCTGTCACAAGAAAAATTTTCTAGCCTGAAGATTGCCAACAACTTTTTTCGGAAGCCTCTACTTTGAACTTACTCTGAAATGAAGTATGATAAAGCACACTCCGCTCATCGTGTAGGTAAAGGTATGTTGAGCAAAGATGCAAAGCTTGGATTCAACAGAAATTCTTTTTTGAGGGAAAAAAATGGTGAAAAAGTCGAAAGTATCCGCTTTTTTCTCTATTTCGGCGGATTCAAAAAACGGTCTTTTTTGGAATTCTTTCATTCTCCTCCGCTAGAGTGAGAGAACCTTAGTATTTTTCTACCATCAAGTGAACTAGGTATGCCCTTGCTGGATAGTGCAAAAGTTCTGCAACTGCCTTTTGCTTAAGAGTTTTAATGGCACGCAAGGGCTGTGACGAGCATTCAAGTTTGCTTTTTTTCGAATTGAATTTATCGACTCAAGATTTTTGAGAATTAATCTGTCTAGTCCTCATGGACATGGGGCAGGAAGAGAGAAAAGCAAAATTTTTGGAATTTAGTTTTTTTTATTTGAATGCGCAAAACTTTTGAACGGACGAGGATGTACAAAAGCGAAATCATATATAAGAAACTAGAGGAAATGCTCTTTTAGAGAGCCCAAAAACTTTCTGAAGGAATTGGTCAAACTTTAAAAAAACCAGCGTTTGGAAGAAGACTTAGGAAAAACGTGCATTAATCATAAATCAACCTAATATTTTGAGCTGAAGGAATGAAAACTTATCTCAGACGAGGCGCCATAGACTTTGCTCGCGATCTTATTAGCAATTTCTCCGAGAGTATAACTAAAATATGACTGAAGCATTTAGGTAATGAAATGGGAACTGCTTACAACACTTACCTAGCCGAAAGAGTTTTGAAATAACAAGACTTCTCATTGATGTACTTGTAATAGGGCGCACGTTGTTGCAAGTTGCAGCTGTATCTTGGCCCCTGCAATGAGGAAGATTCGATTATTTGACAATTATCAAAAGCTTTATACTGACTTTTTTCTTCTTCTCTATATCCTTTTGTACGATTTCCAACACTGTTTGCAGATGACCACTTCTATTCGAAGTCTTGCATTTTGGTAGTCTCCACTTAATGTTTTCCAGAACTTCATTGGATTGCCGATTTTTACATAGAATAAGCGTTAATGATATCTGGAAAATAAATATGTTCCATCAGTTTTGGATGAATGCAGACTTACAGCAAGAATCGCGAAACGCACAAACATGACTGCTTATTCAAGTTGACGATTCTCTATTTATGACCACTGAATTAATGACTTGACAAAACTGCAAAGTTCAATGCACTTTGACAGTTGAAATCTACACTGAAGCCGCATCTGTAGAGCACGGCGTGAGAGAGAATGTCATCAGATGTCATCTGAATGTTATTGCTAACACCATGGCACATGAAACATACGTGAGATAAATTTGTCGTTTGTTATGTGCAACATATTCAACAATGAAGCTCATGCCTCTGCTGGTTTGTAAACAACGTGTCAATAAAATTGTAAGCTTACTTTAAATAGCAATTCCTAGGTAGAAAATCTTGCAGAGTAAAAATTGAAGTTATAAGGCCGAAAGCCTTTTAAAATTTCAAAGCTGTGAAAGAAAAGGACGGAATTTGGATTTTACTACACGCTATTTTGCACTAACAATTTAAAGACGATACTCAAAAAACTGCAAGAAAATGCAAAAGCTAATCGCGTTACTTCAACTACTTTGGAAAAAGGCATAATTTTCTTAGTAATAAGTCTACTCTTATTTTGCACCATTTTCGGTTGATTTCAGTCTTTGAATGTCCATTTTTTGAAGCAGTTGCAAAAGAAGCGAGAGGAAAAACTAAAGTATGCACGATGTTCGAATACGCACAGTTTTTCACTGACTAATATATGTAAGATGTTGGTCTCTTGTGAAAGTGCATCTACGAATCAGCAGGTTGAATGCATTTAAACGGCTCAAGGCTGTCTTCGCTTGGAAAATTCTTAGTTTTTGAGAACTCCAACTTTTCTATTTTAGGAATATGACAATTATTCGCAAACTTCTCGCGAGATGGAATAATGGAAAAGTAGTGAAATAATAAGAGTCACTGCCTGAGACAAAAGCTGGTTTTCGCCATTGCTTGATATTCGGGTACTCAATTCTGGGATAGAATCAAGATCACTTTGTAGGCATGCTCAATGAAGAGGATCGGATCTCGATCATTTCGGTCATCACTGCTCCTGATTTGAACCCCTAAGGCTCATTTCCATTAATGAAAACCACCTTTCTGCGCAAACTTTCGATTACTCATTAATAAACAGCTATTGAATTAAGTGCGGCTGTGCACTAAGTGAATGAGCACTTTTACATGCTTTTACACAAGCCAAAAACATCACGCCATACCTGTCGATAAAGGCATAGAATGCATGTTGCAGGGGTATCTGGATAATGGTTTTGAACACTACATTGCTTACACTTTGAAAAGATAACTACAACGGATGGTTTTTCATGGGGAGAAGCAGCTTTTTTTAATGGGGAAAAACATAGTCCTGTAATTCTTGCCACCAACTTTTGACTGTTTCGATATACCAATATCGTTTAAATGGTCATTAACGCGCTACAAAAAAGCTTTCAAATAAAATAAAGCTTTACGTTAAGCTCAGAAGTACTGTTCCCGTTATATCCGAGTCTAAAACGCTTGGATATTGACGGCTTTGAATGCCTGGATCTCGAGAAATTAGTATGGAAAAAAAGTTCATAACTTTGTTGGGAAGGTCGCACAGCAGATAATGAATATAGACTTAGAAGCAGCGTTTGTATTCCGCAATTAGCGGAATACATCTCACTGCAAAAGAACGTGGTCACCAAGCATCCTTCCTTTGTTGGATAAATTTGGTTTTGACTGCATCGACTTCCGCGCGAATATCAGCACAAATAAACCACAAATCACAGTGTTTATTGTACTTTATCAGGTAACCAAAGCTTTGTTTACAAGGTTATTTTTGTGCGAGTTGGTCAAGCATGGAAATGAGCTTGAGATCTTGAAAAAATGACTTTTGATTAGAGCCGGTCACATTAGAACACAATTTTCGCGGATACAAAAGCTGATATGTGATAACAAAGGCTTAAAACTATCTCTTTACAAAAAATTCAGACCAACTACTTGATTTGCTATAAGTCTAATATCTGTATATTGAGACAAACCGTTTTTAGCCAACTCACTAACAATGGCTTTTTTCATCTGAGTGTATCCGCTGCCATTATTCTATGTTCTGCCGTACTACTACAGTCTTTCCACCATTTCGTAAATGTGATCGTCTCTTTCCCTTGAAACGTACTCTGTTTTATGATCCAGAAATTTTCATTGCTTTACGCGGTAATGCATTGTTGCATTTTCCAATTTTGAACAGCCTTCAAGTGTACTCTGCATGCTTTTCTCTATAAAAATCGCTCATTATTTTCAATCTTTGAACTTTGAGCGATGTAGCTCAAAACTATTGTTTAAGTACCCCTGCAACGTGCCAAGCCTTTATCGGTGGGCGTGATTCCGCTCTCGCCCACCCAACTCATTCTCCTCGATTGTTTTGACACAGCATTGTGGAGAAGCAAATGTGCCACTGTATCCCTATTGTATCGGCAAGTTACGTTGCTCACTGGAAACAATGTTGAAGTGCTTGTCCGTGCTTTTGAAAAGAAAAGCGACTCAAAAAGATGTTTTCATGTTTTTCAAATTTCATATTCAAAATTAAGGCCATAAAAAGTTTCGAGAATGACAAAAACATGTAAGGCGACCATCAACTTGGGCATGACTTCAACGCAGCCAACATGCAGCTTCGCTCGGCTTCCAAGAAGCGATTTGGTTACAACAGACAGCTATAATGGTCGACCTAAGCCAGGTAAGTAATGTGATATACAAGCAGAATCCGTAACTCAGATGATATGAGAGCGTTAAAGACAACGGAGCTATCGTTGTCTGCACCTGTGTGCTTGCACTACAAAGCGAAAGCACTTGCTGAGAGCTGTGTCATCGACAGTGATGCAAGGGAATATCGAAATGTTGTAAGTAAGTAAGCTTTTCGTCAAAGTAGGAGCATTCTGCTGAGAAAAATCAAGAACAAAAAATCTTTTGGAGAAATAATTTAGATCCTGAGCTTTTGATAGCTTCAGACAAAATGTATTATATACTAGATAAATATAATAAAATTAGAGGTAGCTAGGTCATATAACTCAGCGTCGCTGATTTGCTTCAAAGAATTTTTCGCTAAAGAAGAAGATGGAGACGAGTAATGCGATGATATGACGCGCGGTATGTTCAACGATTTTTCCCGAGAGCGATAAATACGCAGGACATACGAACCAAATCATTGACTTGGCAGGTTAACAGGCCACAAGTCCACAGTAACCGCAATCAATAATTTATGGTTGGTTACTTCTAACCAAGCGGAGACCAAGCTTGGTACAGCTTGGTCCTTATTGTACAGGCAATAGAATTGACCTTTCTGCAAGCTCTTCTCCTAGAGTCTAAAAAAGCCTAATAAGTCATATACAAGAACATATAAGAAGTATGAGTAAACCATACGGTCAAACCTCAGTCGCCTCTACAGAGAAATGCCCTGGTGACCGTTTGAGACGGATTAATTTTGAAAAAGTTAATACTTCACATAAGTTTTCAAATCTTTTTGCAAAATTCTTCTGCAAATAATTTTCTATGTACAGATTTCCTTTTTTTCAATGTCATACGATTCTGTGCGCGCTGTAAACAAGCAAATTGTTTATCTTGACCTTTTTTTTTTCAAACGCGCGCACTTTTATCCGTACACGATAGAGCATGTCAATCGTGTGATAACCTGTCCGAAAAGCTTGTGTTCGACTAATAGGCGCTTATTCTTGGTGCTCGGCTCCAATTCGTCGAAAACGATATCTCCTTTGCTTTTTGGTCCAAAACGAAGCCCAGGCTGCTCCAGACCATCTGTGCCGAGGCCTGAAAAAGCCCAACTGCATAAAAAAAGATACTATCCCTGCTTGTTTCATCGAAGAAAATCCCGAAAAAAGGGTACAATCTTGTAGCTCTTGGAGTTAACGCACTGACACCTCATAGAGTTCAGAAAAAATTCAGGCAAAACTTTTTAGAGATTTTTGATTTTATCCTATTTATTTTTTGACTAGGGCTGAAACAGGCCCTCATACGGTGAACCCCTCAGAAAACTCCTGCATCTTCATGATACATAGGCCGCAGTTCTACCCTTTAATACATATCCGAAGTTGTCAGTACATCTAAGATTTGAGCCTTTTCTCGCAAAAGTCACATGCAGTGGCACAAGAAAAACATTCATCTACGTGACGGCATAGTCCAAATCTTGAAGTTGTTTTTTGTTTGCAAAGTAGCAGAACTCTATAAATAAATTCCCGCGATAACTGAGGCACAAGGCGAAGGCAGTAAACCTCGGATCCCCTTGAACTCGTAGCTATAATTCCCGCTCACGTAGATGAAAAACAAAATTGAGAACAAATCAACTAGGTACAGATTAACAACTAACACAATACACACATTTTAAAAAAGACAATAATGTCCAAATTTGCCTGCTGAGATTGCATGTCTCTACTTCGCACCTTCTCGTGCTTGGAGCAGGGCTGTCCATTGGTTTGAAAAATTTCTAAAGGCTCTAGCTGGGGAAAAAAAGTTTTGAGGGGACTGAAGACACGGGGACTTCAGACTTAATTTGAGGTTATGGAAGGGAGGTCGAAAAACTATGCGTAAACGAAAACTTAAACTAAAAAACAAACATGTCTTTACTCCTCTGAGCCGCTTCAGGTGGTCAGCCAAGCCGTCTCAACTCCACAAACGGAATTTGCCACAGCTCTGCTTTACAAAACTTTGTTTTAAAATCTGTAATTTGTTCCAAATACAAATTCTGGTGCGGTATCATTGCTTGACCAATGTTTATTTCAGGCACATTTACGAATTCCCACGTTTCCAACAAGAGCAATTTTTTCGCGTTTTCCAAGAAATGGGATTTCTGAGGTATCTGAAAACATGTGGGTAATCTACTAGGTTTATAGGGACGGACTTGGGGCCGCATGCTTAAACATACCCGCCAGGAGGGATCGTAGCTCAAATGAAAGTTTCGTATTCTGGAGCTCCAGATGTCTGGATTTCAAAATGTTTAATCATTCGTAAGTATTCCAATTATCTTCCACTATGAACAACAGCAGCGAAAAGCTGTGCAAGTATATTTTCCAGCTTTTT